AAAGCCTGGCTTTTCCGGCAGGCCTGGGGCTGTTGACCCCCTGATTGAGGTCCAGCCCCCCTTCGGTTTGGGGGTTGTTGTGTTCTTTTTTTAACTTTGTTGTGTCCCATTGTTTTTAAAAATTCTTTTTAATTTCTTTTTTCATTTCTGTAAGCCGGAGTCCCTCGGGATTGGGCGGCATAGAAATTCAATAAATGAATGAATGATGAAAATGAAGTTAAAAGCAAATGAATCTTTAAGTATTAAGAGGATTTAGGGAGATTTATATTAAATCTCAGTGGAAAATTAAGTGACTCCCTAAGGATATGAAAGGACACATAATTAGCATTGAGTTGCAGAGGAAGAGAGTAGGTGAGTATAATTCAATTATAATTACAATTAATGACAAAGTGAGAAAATATTAAATACATGGGACACAACCACCACTGAATTAATTTTACTAATTTTTAATTTAATTTAAAACTTAACTCTGTTAAGATTTTGCTTTTTGAAGGATGTCAACCATCCCTGGCATTTACAACGGCACTGAAAAAAGTGACTCTTGAACCATTTTTCACCCTTAGTGATTATTGAAGCATTCCTATATCATGATCAAAATTTAGATGATTGGCAACTAACTCATATTTATGATGGTTGCAGTGTCTCGGGACCATGTGATCACATTTTCAACCTTCTGACAAGCAAAGTGAATGGGGAAGCCATGTTTCACTTAACCATGTTAATCACTTAACAGTGCAGTAATTCACATAACAGTGGCAAGAAGGGTCATATAATGGGGCAAAAATCACTTAACAAGTATCTCACTTAACAACAGAAATGTTGGACTCAAAATGATTGTATGTTGAGGACTACCCAGAAATGTCTAAAATAGGACCTGAGCACCTCCATATGAGGAAAACAAACATCTCTAGCCTTTTCCATCCAATATTTCTTAGTGCTTCTTTCCTACCATCAGGTTTAAACAACTACATCATCCCTCCTTTTTGGTCCCCATCTTCAATGTCAGACCACACTAAATAAATGGTTAGATTTCATTGTAACATAAGACAGACCATGAAAAATAAGGAGTGAAAAAGGTTGGGCATTATTCCCATAAAAGTAGTTGCAACATTTTCCAGTAGTAGTGGCCCATGTTTCTCTCTCTTTCTCTCATAGTTGCTTTGCTGTCTGAATGAGATGGATAAGAATAGGATGTATTTAACTGAACACATTCTAAATAATATTCTCTTGGATTTTGGATGCAGGAAAATGAGAGATGAAAAGGGAACGAGAGTACAAATTTGCACTCCTATTTCATTTCTTTCCTCAACATCATAAAGTTTCATTTGTTTAGCATAAAATTGCTCCTTTCATTTTAAAGCAATTTTACAAAGAGCTCAATCAGTGATTTGCTAATTAGAAAAACAACTGCACATAGAAGATTTCATAGTAGACATTTTAATGAGTTGCTTCTGCTTCTGGCATGAATTTGGAGTGGATTTGCATGGAGTGAATATTATGAATTTAAACAGCACTTAACATACACCAGTACTAATTGCAAAACAAATACCAATTTAAAAAGATGGAGCAGAATGGAGGAAAAAGTAGAGCAGAATTGGAGTAATGAAGAGTGGGTAAAGAGTTTAAAAAATAATTAGTTTTGTACATATACATATTTCAGATTTAACAAGTAATGGAGGTTATAAAGAAAATTTGCAATAGGAGAATAATGAGGACTTTGGGTTGTTTTATTTACTTTGGGTTGTTTTCCTAAATATATAACATACTCTAAATTATATTATAAGCAAGCTGTAAAACAGAGTGGTCAAAAGTTAGGAATATTGTTTTTAAAAGATGCATACTTTTTAAATACTCAAATACACGTAGTGCTTGACTTGCAACCCCAGAATCTATCATTGAATGAAGTAGTCATTAAGGTGCCCACATGCCCACTTCACTCAACAACCCTAATCCTGGTTCCTCCAGTTCTAGTCACTAAGTGAATGGAGCAAAAGAGCTCCATGGATGGTTAGGAACTCCTGTAGTAGGCTGCAGAAACAAATTTTGGATCTTTGGGATCCACGCTTGGTTTCTGCATCCTACTGGAGAAGTTCATCTGCCCTCCATGCATGGAACAGAACCCGCTGTGGCGAGCTGCAGGAACAGAATGGAATATTCTGGATCTCAACTCTCTTCCTCCACCCTTTTGCACAAAGGGAAACTCCCTCTGGGACTGCACAAAGACAGCCCTGATCTTTGGGATCTGACCTCCATTTCTGCAATCCACCCGAGGAGTTCCTCAGGAGGCAGCCCTCTTTATTCTTGAATCTCAGCTCTCCTTTCACTATCAATCAGCTGCCTGCTTGCCAGAATCTCAGCTCCGTGTCAGGTGGTAGCAGCTTGCAACCTTCTCTGCTGGCTACCCCATTGACTATCTTGAGAAACCAGCAGAGAAGTTTGGAAATGGTGATCACATTATCATGGGGTGCTTGGAAACTGGTCTTAAGTGCAAACAGGTTGCCAAGGACTTAGATCGCAATCGTGTGGGTGGGTGGGGGGAAGCAGCATAATGTTTCATGAGAGCCAGATGTGCATTTTATGTAATTGTATTGCTTTTTGAAAGTTTTATAATAATTTATAATAATTATAAGTCTCTGTATTATATTGTTGTGCTTTCTGACTCAGAGACCATAATAAAGGTTTGATTGATTATCGTATGATCAGTCATCATAAATTCTTCATTTTGTTCTTACTGAAACAGCATTATAATGTCTCTGGATTCTCTCCTCTTCCAGTCTTGTATCTAGAATTAAAAAAACAGAGTTCAGTGAACGCTAAGGCTTTATACCCAGCCTATGGGAAACCATAGCCGGTCACAAGCCCGGATAAATGGGGAGTGTTGGTTCCCGTGGCGACGGAACCGTGAAACTAGCTGAGAATCCAATGGCAGGACAACACATGGATAAACAACTCTGTAATCCGTGACGTTCTGCCTTTGGCCTTCACAATGCAACGGTCACTGCCTTGTGGACGTTGACGTTTACGAAGATTAAGTCCAAGTCCAAGTCTAAGGCTTTATAGCTTATAAAGCAAACTTGAATTTCATAAATTGGTTAGTAGTGATCTTTGCAAAACTGTAAATTGTATACATGTTGGGAAAAATAGACAGGTTAAGATTACAAACTTAAGTGTTCATGTAAAAGCAAACTCTGTTTAAATTGGCAGTTTAGTGTTAGCAGTACTTAGTGGTAATAATGTAACAGTGTTCCTCGCCATGCCTCACGGCAAGAGGCTGTTTTAAGGATTGCACATGCCCACATCTGCATCTTCCAGAAGAGAGGAAATCCAAGGGTCTCTACAGAATCCTCCCCCTATCTGTTTCTTGATTTTGAAACAATACTGTTCTTCATTTGTAGATATTTAAGCCACTGGAAAAGTATTTATTTATTTATTTATTTATTCATTCATTCATTCATTCATTCAATCAATCAATCAATCAATCATTCAATATGCCCCCCCCCAATCTCCCTATCAATTGATTATGATACAGTAGGATACTGTAGTTATGTATGATTTGGTTTCCATGTCTAGATATTTTTGAATCAACTAGCTAGTGGAAAAAGTGACATAAAATAAGACTTGGTCAAGGATTTAAGGTATGAAAACTCTTAGATTAAACAGATTTACAGGGAATAATGCCAGCTGTAAAAATAGAATATCTATTAAATGTAAATTAATTTTGCTTATGCATAAAATGACACTAGATTGTATACATATGCATTTTGCATATTATATGCATGTACATGTATAAAGTAGCAATTTGTATATGTGCATAGAATTATCCGATAGACAGACAAATTTTCTTCATTGTAACCAAAGTACTCAGAACAGAGCCTTTTAAATCAAGGGTTTATTATCTTGCATTTCCCCCCTATTTTCCTTGTTCAGGAGCAACCTGCTGCTCTCTAAATGGTTTGCCATTGGCAGTCCTGCTGGCATTAATGAGAATTGAATATCTGGAAACCATCTGGATGCCCATCCCTTTTTTTTCCTGTCATCAGAAAATTGTTAAGAGTTGTAATACAGAATTCTTCAGTAATTCGTGGCGTAGATAAATAGTCCAAATTTGAAAATTTATAGAATTGCACAAAGTCAGTGGTGGAATGAGATACAATATTTTTAGTTTTAAGAATCCTTTTATAATTAATCATTTGTACAGAATGTTTTTCAATATTTTGCATAGCTAATGAATTTGTTCTGTCTCCTTTTCTTTTTAAAATATCCTTTTGATTGGGATTTAACGAAGGAAACCTATGAGAACAGAAGAGAATGGAACAAGTCAAGCTGAATATGCAATGACATCCTGTCAAAACAGCAAGACAGTTGATGCTAACAATGCAGTGGCGTAATTTCCGAAACCACCTCTTGAATAGTAAACATTAAAAGCACACATGGAATATGCAAGGTGGGTGAAATGCAGCATCAAGAGAAGACTTATGGCCGAGGACTTCATTTCAGAAATAGCGCACGCTTCAGATATTCTGAGAAGAAAAGCAGGTGACTCCTCTTTGGCTTGCTGAGTGTCACGAAAAGTGGGATTATACCGGGGGCTACTCTGAAAAAGGGATTCACAGAGGCCTACTCACTGCATGCTTGTTCTTTTGAAAGCAACATTGCAGTGCCCCTTCTTCTTTCCTCATCTTTGATGGACTGTTTATTTTTTGAAAATGCTTCAGCGATCCTTTGATAATTAAGAGAGTGATCTATTCAAGATGGTAAAATACCATAATTGGGCTTGCAGATTCAAGCTTTGCATTTTTCTGTTTCTCTACAGTCATTTTAAGACCCACCCTTTATGATGATCATATTGTTAAAGTGGAAAATCTCCATTCACTGAAAGGGAACATCCCTCCCTGCCCAGCTGCATGATTTCATGGAATGTATCCCCTCCTACACAATCCGATGACTAGATATAGGTGCCATTCAGAATGTCTTACAACAATTAGCTTTACTGATGGAAAGAAAAATGTTACCTAGGATAACATTTTTAAAGTGTTTTAAATATTGTTAATCCATAGACCAGAAACATTTTGGGCCTTAGTGTTTAAAAAAATATATCTATATTTCGGTATATCTATTATTATTTTGCAGTTTTGCACATGTATATCCACCACACTAATCTGTAGACAAGATCTCTGGAATGATCTAAAAATGTTTGACTCTGGAGGACAAGAAGCTGCAATGGAAACAACTCCTTGAAGACTTTCCTATTCCTTGAGTAGCTCCTCCAAATGAGTGCTAAATAAAGAATTTTCTGTTGTAGGGAAAAAGCTGTGATAGATCAGTCCCCTTTTTAATAAGGGGCTGCCAATAGTGCCAAAATTGCTCTGTTTTGTATCACTTTGTGATAAAGTACCACAAACAGTTTAAAAGCATAATCCAACTTTCCATTGTCACAGTGTCTTGTTAGGCACAGTCACTTTAATTTGTAAAAGAACGACTGATGCTATTACTTGTCCATACCTTGTTTAAGAACTTAAAATATGGTTTCTGTCTTTCCTTTTATATGCCTTCATTTGTCACAGCTGTACCAGCAAAACAAAACAAAATGAGGTGTCACGATCTGGCTTCTTGTCTTGCTGTCAAGCTTCAGTGATATTCTGTCTTTGTTGATTCAAGCAGTCTAAAAGAAACTAGCAGTACTGTAGTCTAGAATCATGGTTTTGTGTCAGTCCTAAATTGTAAGAAGCTGGTATGTTGGCTGAATGTAGCTAGGATTGTCTCCAAGTAGAATTCCAGTGTATTCCAACCTACAATCAGTTTTTCAGAAGACCTCTTAAAAGTGAGGGATGGGGAACATCTCTGCATTGAATTCTGATACTCCCTCACTTAGACAAAGTCACTGTATAATGCTGTCTCAGTTAAATATGAAAAATGATGGATAGGTGAGTGAATGAGTGTATGCACGAGTGAGTGAGTGAGTGAGTGAGTGAGTGAGTGAGTGAGTGAGTGAGTGAGTGAGTGAGTGAGTGAGTGAATGAATGAATGAATGAATGAATGAATGATTTTAGTACCTTTGGCCACTCAACAGTATACAATAATACTTAAAATCAATATAGTTAGTGCTGTTGCAGCAACAATAACTTGCCTCTTAATAGCAATATAAAATACTTTTGCAACCATTTTAGTTATGTCTGAGCTTGCATCTGCAAGGCAGTAAGTTACATAAAATAAATAACTTATTCCTAGGAATCTTAAAAAGTAGTGGTTGATTTGTTCTTTATATCCCAGTAGAGGATACAGTACAAAAAAAGCATGTTCCCAAGGAGTAAGGGTTGCCAGGGTGTCTCACTAGAAAATTGGTTCCTTATAAATCTCATTTCTAGGATGGATAAGGAAAATTCATTTAAACAGGACTTGGTGAAAAAAATCCTAAACATACCTGTTCGATATGATGGTGATCAAAATATCTTTATTATGATTTCCTGGACCAGGAAAAAATTAGTACCTTCGTTTTAGAATACTTTATAGTTGATTTGTTATTACTGTAATATTGCTAGAAGGCTGTCATCAGTCACTGGAGACATAGTCACTTTTGGCAAAGCAAAATAGGTGATATCAACATATAATAAAAAAGGCACATGTATTTGTTAGCTTTGGGCAGGAAAGTCTTCAGTTTCCAATGAGGCTGCAAAGTCATTCATATAAAAATTGGAGTCAAGACACACCCTTCTCTAGCTCCACCCGTAGAAGGAAATATATTAGTTAAAGTGCCATTAGGTCTATATGTAATCTGCAAAAAGGATTTAGAATAATTGCTTTCTGGTCAGTTATGTTTCCCATACTAAAAACAGATGAAATGAGCAGTACATCAATCAGATAAATGATAAATAAATAGAATTGAAAGCTGCTTTAAGCCAATAAAAACTATGAAAAGATTACACATCAATCCGCACAAATATTTCTCAATGGGGTGGTATAAGGCCATATGTAGGACAACCTTCTCTGAATTCAATCTGCTCAGTCCCCAAGATTTTAGGACCTGCCAGTTATGTCTTTAACTCATTTAAGAGATACATAGCATAAAGTTTGCCTACTCAGGGCTGACTTAACGCATGGGCCTGATGTGCACTTGCCCATGGGCCCCACGAGCATAGGGGCCCCGTACTATCTGTGTATGTTAACCCTTCAATGCATCTTTTATCGTATAAATACCACAACATATTTATTACATTTTACTGCATTTTAATTAATATTAACATGAAAATATATGTTTAATTTTATCGACATTTTTATTCCTGTGAGTAGTTGTCGTAGGGGCCCCAGTACACTGCTTTGTCAGGGGCCATTAGTGTTGTTAAGACAGCCCTCTGCCTACTGTTGATAACATGGGTATTATGGTGAAATTTGTCCATAGAGTTCCCTTTTATTGTTGATAAGGATTTTTCAAGCAAAATACAATTAATAAGGAGTAATTTCCACCATTTTGAATTGATTTTAATACATTCTGAAGGTATAGGATCTGTGGGACTTACCCTGCCTTATCAATTTCATTTTTTATGGTCAAGAAGTGTGCCTGGGGAGGGGGGAGGGATTGGTAGTAAGAAGCACAGTGGACTCAAGGAAATGATTGTGGTTGTAAATTGCAAAAAAAGTGGCTCTCTCAAGTTCCAGCAGAGATTTTACACAAGGGGTTTTCAGAATACCTTCCTATAGCTTTGGAAATAATAGATTTGTTTGCCTTTACTCCTAGAAATATATATATAAAAAAACTTTTTCGAAGTGGCATGGCTGGGGAATCTTCTTACTGCCTGCTGTAGAGCTTTTGTAAATGTTGCAAACTTGTTATTTAGAAACCTACATCTTACTTTCATCCACTGTTTATTATTATTTTTAATCTGCCTGGGTTATATAAAAAGTTTACTTTACATTGAGCCAGCACAATATTCATTAAAAAATAAACAAGATTATCATTAAAAAAATAATCTCAGATATCCGTCATTGACATGAGCATCTTTTGCATAACCATATATTCAAGGGAATCAAGGCCATAAGTATTTCAAGATTCCGTCTTCCTACCTCTTGCATCAATTTTGGCTCCTGGATTGAATCTTGGTTTTTGTTTTTGGTTCTTTCAGTATAATTTTTCTTAGGATTGTAGTCACTTTTTTTTCCTGGTCAAGAATATTCATCAGTTTCTTTAAATTTGCCTTGGCAATTCATGACCACAATGCTCCTTCTTAGAAACTCTTTTTTTGCCATTGTTGTTACATGAATTGTGGTTATTAAGCAAATCCAGCTTCCCCATTGACTTTGCTTGTTGGCAGCTGACTGAGAAGGTCACAAATGGTAGTCATGTGACACCCCCAAATACATGCTGCTTGCCAAGTTCCCAAAATTTGTTCCTATGACCACAGAGACGCTGCAAAGAAAATGCAAGGACTGGTTGTAAGTCACTTTTTTCGCCACCATTGGATTTCCAATGGTTGCTAAACGAATGGTCTTAATTTGAGGACTACTAGTGCAAATAGTCAGATTTATTAATGTACAAAAATATCTAAAGTGATAGGTTATATATCAAGTATACCTCTCAGTGCAGCACTAAAATATGTTTTAATTACCACATAGTTTTATGTAGAGAAACATTAAAAAAATGTAAAATAAAATAAAAATGAACAAAATACTAAAACATTGGGTTTTAAATTGTGCAGCTACTTAGATATTGGAATGCTCAATTATTAGTGGTAAAATTGAGACTAGAATAGCATGGACGGGTACCGTCTTTCATTTCTGACCTTCATATTTGCTGATTGATTCAGCATTTCTGTAGCTATTTCGGTTACATTTGTTAACAAGGCTCTCCATTCTGTCAAGAAGGACTTTATTAGAGTCCCATGCTCGCTCACAGAAGTTCACCGGTTGTTTCTCTTAACAGATAAGAGATCGGCAAGAAACCTGATTTTCATTCCTGCTATTCATCAGGATGAGCAGGGTCACTAACAGATTTTGAAGGCTTGTTCCCGTGCTCTCCATTCACTACACTCACTTGGAGTTGACAGGCATTTAAGAAGAGAAGTACGTAACCTTTAGCTGGTTTATACTATAGTTAATCTTGCAAGAAATGTTCCTTTCTTCAAGGACTGGTATCAAACTAGACCCTATTAAATTGCAGGTAGAATCATGAGAAGTAGAAGTACAAAGGGAAAAAATCCAAAATCACGTGCATGGCAGCGTGCACACGTGTGCCTACACCCACAATACAATGCACCCTACTTCCCCTGTGCATGCACATATAACCCTCTTTGCTTGACCCCCCTGCAACCCGTTTTGGGTCTAGTGGGCCTCCCTGAAGCCTTCTAGGACCAAAAACGGGCTGTGGAGGGCACACTACACACTGCCCCATTTTGGGCCTAGCAGGCCTCCCTAAAGCCTCCTAGGACCAAAAATGGGTTGGGGGTGTGCCATACCCCCTGTGGCCAGTTTTGAGCCTAGCAGGCCTCCCTGAAGCCACCTGAAATAAAAAATGGGGCTCCCCCACCTTCCACGCATGCACACGTGACCCCCCTGCTGCCATGCATATGGACAAGAATCCTCCCACACGCATGCACATGTGACACCCCCCCACATACGTGTGCATCTCCTGCATGCATGCACATGCACGGTGGAGCTGAGCTGGGCAACGGCTTGTGTGCTGGCAGAGAGGGTTCCATGTGGCATCTGTGGCACACGGGCCATGGGCTCGCCATCACGGGCATAGGCAGTTCTTGCTTATGTTAAAGATAATATTAGAGGAGTAATAAACTTACTAGCCAGTTTGATGCTCCTTCTTTCCTCCTAATTAATCTGTTGTGCGAATTGCATAACAGAATCACTTTTAGAGGCTTCTCTGTAGCGTAGCTGTTAGCTGTTCTCCAGACCTCAATAAAGCAGCCTTAGCCTGAACCTCCTCCACCTATTTTATTAAAGTGGCCCTGAAAAAATACCCCATGAACAAAATAGCAGCACCGTGATTATAACAGTTTTTTAAAAATATTGCAGAACATGACTGCAGGCTACAATGTCCCTAAACATAAGTGAAAAAACAAGAATAATAAAAGCTGAACTGTATCTAGTTCATTGAAATAGCCTCCCCATCATATTCTTGCAAGGAGTCCCTTAAGGGTTTAATAGTTGGCATTGGTGGCTATTAGTTACTGGAGGTCCTGCCCAATCATTATATTTCAATATAAACGTCATTAAGCAAATATGTACATTGTCCAGAAGGAAAAACATTCTTAGGGAGAAATCCGTGGAGAAAATATATAAATTAAGCTACTTATCTAAGTTTCTTCCCTTCTAAAAATTATAGTTAATATCAGGGTTGGGCTACAAAATTTTCAGCAACAGATTCTCTGCTCGGTTGCTGGGTGGGCAGGGCCAAGTGGCCTCCTTCATCACGTGGGAGGTGGTGTTTTCGCCTTCCCCAGGCTCCGGAGGTTTTTCTTGAGCCTCTGGGAGGGCAAAAACTCCCTCCCTTGGGCTCCGGAGGTCTTCTGGGAGGCCTGCTTTTCCTCTTCATGGACCCTGCACTTATCTCGTATCCAAAATGGGCCACATGGAGACTCCTGGGAGGGACGTGGTGGCAGGGCGTGGTAGGCGGGCCAGCCAGGGGTGGGATTTGTAGGTTCTTCAAACCAACAATAATGTTAGCTATAGGTTCTCCCAAACCCAGGCAAACCCATAGCAGCCCACCTCTGGTTAATATCTTGTTGAGACTTAATGAAAATGGAGCAATCAAAGTACACTATTAAGGTTTCTGGGCCTTTCTTTTCCAATTAGTTTGGCCTATTGTAATTGCAACAGTAAAAATAATATAAGTTGGCTTCTTGGAGGCAGAATTGTTGAGAATTAATTGCCAATTCAAAAAATAAAGGCTCTTAAAACCATACTCCACAGTCACTTACAGTAATTTACTCCCTCCTCAATCCTACTTTGAATGTTTCATGGGGAGATTTGCGTTCTCTTTCTCATTCAGATTTCAATGTTATAATCAGTAGCAAGTATATATTTTTTTCCTAAAAGAGAATAGACATGTTTTACAGCATAAACTTTGAATGTATGCAGGGTGCAATTATTATGTTTATCAGAAGAATTTTAGTGAACTAGTCATTTAATTTCAAGACTGAACATAATAGTTCTGTGACAGCAAAAACAAAAATAATTCAACTATCATTTTTCCCCATAGGATTCAATGCTCTCCTTTAACTTGGAAAAAAATGCAACCCCTCTGCTCCATAGTTCAGATGATGGGAAGGCTGAGCAAAAAGTATACCATGCATGAATTATATGAACACAGGATGCGAGTTATGTTAGTATAGCCACTAGTCCATGTACTCTTTCTCAACTGCAGCAGCAGCTTCCTTGCCTTTTCCTCCCCAAGGATGACCCAGGTCAAATCCAGATCATGCTGCATGTGTGTCCCCAACTGCATTGCGATTGTGTTGCATTGTTGCTTTCATTCATTAAAAGAATCAGATTTCCTGTTAAACCTTCACTGAAGTTAATAGAAATCTCATAGCGGATACCAGTCTTAATTATTTGCATCTGCTACATCCATCAGTACTTAAAATGCTCTGCAAATCATTTTCACTCAAAATACCTTTGGGCTGAACTTCTTGTTAGTCCTTTATTCTGAAAGCCTTTTGAATTCTACGTAAGAATGTATTTTCAGAGAAATCTTAAGACATACTCTCTTTATTATAGTCACTGACAAATCCAAAGTAAAATCAGAACAGAGAAAACATTTCGAAGGCAGATGTAATTCTCGTTTTAACAAAAGTACACATAAATCCAACTTAACCCTAACACTTCATTAGTTAATAGTGAAGAACAGTTCAAAATGCACAATAAAGTTCAATGTAAAAATATTAAAACGAAAAGAAGAAAAATGTTTTTGAACTTCAAGCCAATAGATATATCCAACTTAAGAAAAATAGAAAAACTGGCTACTAATAACTGCTCTTATTTTAATTGCAATAGAGAGAATTTTGACTGCTTGCCAAGCCAAGTTGTCTTTTGCTGAGGGTTTGCTTGTCTTTATTTATTTTTTTAGCCTGAGAGCAATATAGAAGATAGAACTGTGTAGATTTCCCTAAGACTCGAGTGGAGGCTAAAATATGGTCTATTTGTAACTTTTTTTTCTTTCATTCAACCATGTCTGATTCTCATAGACTGCCTAGACAAGTCCCTTCCGTTTTCTTGGGCAGGTTCTTCAGAAGTGGTTTGCCATTGCCTCCTTCGTAGGATTGAGAGAGATTGGTCCAAGGTCATCCATTTATCTTCCTGTCCAAGGCAACTAGAACTCTCCCAGATACATACATACATACCAGAGTTTCTACCCGCTTCCACTGATTTGTGTGAACGGTAGTGGTAATTTGGCTTGGGTCGCAGAACTAGCAGTGACCCAGGCTGGCCACACCCCCGAACTGGTTCCCCAGTCTCCACTACAGTTGCCGGCATGTTTTTTAGTATTTTTTCATGTTCTTCACGCATGCATAGAACAATTTACAGTTTATGAAGTGCGCACGAAGCGAACCGGCACCAATGCTGGTAGGAACCCACTTCATACATACATACACGCAGACACTGGCCTTTGAGGACTACTGATGATATGCCGTTAAACTGAGATATTATTATATGATGTTATTATTAGCTCTAATTATATCATTTAATATTCAAAACTGCATTATGATAGTCATCAGAATTTCTGTTATGTATTCTAGTCATGTCAATGAGCAGCTTAAAATTATTACAAATTATGCTTTCATTTTATTTTGGCTTCTTTCCAAAAAAATCTCAATGACGGATTATGTGTTTGTAACATACCATATATGCATACACCATACATACATACATACATACATACATACATACATACATACATACATACATACATACATACATACCTTACCTAGATGAAAGAAGAATGTGGGATATATAGAAAGTTTATACTTTGTGGTATTTGAAGCTATTCCTATCAGTAAAATAGGAAAATAATTTTACACTGCAGGGAAACCTTAATGGAGTTTTGGGGGAAAGGTTTTTTTTTTTGTTATTCCAGAATATCTATTACATTACTGTGAATAATATAAAATTAAGATAAATTAAACTGCCTCATGTAAATCACTTCAAATGCAACATACTTATCTATTATTTTAACGGTTTGTCCAGATATAAATCTGAGTTTTCATCAAAACCTGCTAAATGAGAGTCCATTTAATTGAGATTTCACTGTGTAGGATACTGCATAGGCACAATAATATAGGCAGGAGAATGACATTATTCATATGAGTGGTTGTAGGAATTTGTAGAAGCCGAAGATTAAATGTAGTGGAAATTTTAGAATTCTTACATCCACTTTTTTGACTTGACCCATTTCAGATAACCAGAATGATGGGGTTCATAGCACATGGCAACACCTGACCAACCTTAATCAATCTAAAAATGTTAAGCTGAATCCAACCCAGCTTACATTAAGATTCAAGGAAGGCTCAACGATGCATGAGGCAACGAGAAGCTGAAATATACAGTATAGAGAGAGCTCCCAGACATTAATAGCATATCACAAGAAATCTGTTTAGATACAGATATGTCCATGAAGTCACCAAGAATCTAAAGAGAATCTTTACTGATTCAGAATTTTGGAAATTGCTGTTTCCAAATATTTGGGGGTGAGGGGGTGGTGTGATTGGTCTTTGAAAAATGATTTGATTTTGGACTTTGTTATTTCTCAGTGGCAATCTTTTCCCAAAAATTATGATACAACTTTTGTTGTACAAAGTTTTGACTCAAAGTTTTGACGAAAATACAAGTTTTGACTAAAAGCTAACAAAAATATTAATTACATTAAGGCCCATTCAATTTTTGTAAAGCCTAGAAATAATGTTACCTCTTCTGGAGTTATACCTTGTTCCCAGCTTTCAAAACAGAGAAGAGGAATATGCCTTCTAGTGTTTTATTATATAACCAAAATTTGATTTGAAACTACTGGTTAAAATAAATAAATAATAAATAAATAAATAAATAAATAAATAAATAAATAAATAAAGTGCTCTCTAATGAGTTTAATTAAATACAAATGAAATATACAAGTATGTATAAAGGGTGTGTGTGTGTGTCTCATAATGATAACTTCATGCTGAAAGCATAATCCAATATAACAATTTACAGGGATTAATTTTTTTTATTTTTAGTCTTTTTTTAAAAAAAATCACACAGATTGAAAGGTTTTGTGTACCAATGGCCATACAGCTAGCAAGCTTTTCAGTTTATTATTATATCTTATATTGCTCTACTTATGTCAAGCTGATTGTACATCAGACAACAGCTGAGACATAGAACAAGAGGTCTTCAAACTTGGCAGCTTTAAGACTTGTGGACTTCAATTCCCAGAATTCTGGGAGTAGAAGTCCACAAGTCTTAAAGTTGTCAGGCTTGGGGACCCATGACATAGAGGGAGTGTGGTTCCATCAAAAATATGATTTATTGAGTCCCATTAATTTCCATGAGGGAATAGATCAAAGCATGTGTTTAAAATCTCCTCCTGGGTCTTGAGAGTGCTTCACTTTGGCTGGAACATAGCCATATATAACACATGTATGGAGTTAAATTTCCATTGCCTCGCACTTTCCAACTGGTTTCTATCATGCAAAATGGGTGTAAACCTATCCTCTTCACATGATATCTTTGTACCAATTTTGCTCTTGGCTTTGCACAAGTACCTAAAATAATTCATAGTGTAAGGCAAGGGGGAATTGTGACTGTTATAAATATATTTTTATATATTCTTTATAGCGTTTCCTGCATCTCTGCAACTGAAATATATATGGTTTTTAAACTGCAAGGGTAGTGTGTTAAAAGCTAATGCATGAATGTAAATAACTCTTTCAGATCTGCCTTTTTGAGTGTACGCCACATTACAGATTAAAACAGCTCTTGTTCTTTGAAAATCTGTAGCAGTGGTTAAGTAACTGATGAGAATGGCCATAATCCAAAGAGTCCCTTTAAAAATAAATAAAAGCATCTTGTACCTGCACCAGGCTGTCTGATTTGGGAAAGGGAAAACCGGAAGTCTCATAATATTCATGGAGTTCATTGGATCATGGCCAAAACCAGTTTTAGAATTAACGCTATGTTTTTAAGACAAAGCCATTAACATATATTTAGTATTTAAGGATATTGCTCAATACATAACATTCTGTACCAAAAAAAACCCTGTGTTGCATATAGAGATTGTGCAGTACCCTATTAAAAAGATCATAATTACTTTTTATTTTAAATAAAAATATGCTTATTAAAAGTTTATCTGTTTTTGTTGTTTGTTAAGATTCATTTTCTTGCTGTAGTTTAATTTGAATTCTTGAAGATGCCCAAATTCATACATTCCTAAGCTGTCCAGAACAATTACAGTTGAATAATAGCTCAGTCATAGGAACATAAGAATTTGTCTTACATCAAACCTGGGCAAACTAGTGTGTACTGAAACATTGATATATACAATGCTCTAATTTTGTCTTCTGTCATATACTGCACTTTGGTGTTGCATCATGGCTTACCATTTGATTAAAAAAATGAATGAGTAGCCATTTATCCATCCACCATCTGTCATTGTTGTAAGTCAGTGGTTCCCAAACTTGGCAACTTTAAGTCTTGTGGACTTCAACTTCCAGAATTCTCCAGCCAACTCTGCTGGCTGGAGAATTCTGGGAATTGAAGTCCACAAGTCTTAAAGTTGCCAAGTTTGGGAACCACTGTTGTAAGTCATAACCAACCATTTACATATTCTGGTTATCTTTCCAATACCCTACTCCCCCCTGCCCCTTCCCACACCCTGAATCTCATTATGAGTAAAGAGAATGCAAGATATTGAGGCAACTCTATTCTTTGAAATGAACACATGCATTCCCTGGGTTCATATATTGCATTAGGCGATTATTATTTAATCAGGATTATACAAACCACAATCAGTTACATTCTGAGACCAAGCCAAATGAAGTACATTGTAGATTTGCGCATTTGTTGAATCAGATCAACAATTTACATGGAATGAAATTTCTGTGATCTTTGCAAATAGCTCATAGCAAAAAAAATAAAAAATAAATTACAAATCTGTTTCTTGTGAACTTTTGTTTTTAATAAGAATTTCCAAACAAGATTACATAAAATGCAATAGTTCCATTAAATCCATTAAAGTTCCATTAAAGAAACAAAAACCCACATTTTAAAAAAGTAGCAATGTGGGGAACCAGAAAACAAAAGTTTATGCAGCTTTTGGCTTCCAAGGAAACAGAAAAACAAAATACATTGTATTAGTATTAACTCTGTTAAATTATAAAATAGAAAACAATCATAAATTTAACATGCGGGTTTTTTCTTACTTGTGTGACACGTTCACAACCATATCTCTGGACTTTCTGAAACACTTTTTCTAGCTTTAATAATTCATTAGAAACATGCACAACTTTTTCTGGGCTGCTTGTGAATGTTTTAAATGTTGTAAGTCTCCCAAATCCACTGTATGTGTGACTTGGATGGCTATATAAATTTAATAAATAAAAAAAATGAATAGCTTACCAGGAAAGTTGTGGGAGACAGCAGGAGAAAAACTCAATCTGATTTATATGTAATAAAGATGAAATCCGGTTGATATGATTATTCTCCATACAGATACTTAATAATTTTCCACTTCTGACTTATACTACTGGTACTACATTTGTGTTGGAAGCACATACCAAGGTGCTACCAAGTTGAAAAGATTAGCCAGTGACATCACCATTTCCCAGGAAATGCTTGATGTGGCTCCTTTTGTGGCCCTGATATTTTCCCACAAAAGTACTACCTATTTGTCTACTTGCATTTGCATGCTTTCAAATGCTAGGTGGGTAGAGGCTGGGCCAAATTGACAGAAACTTCTTCCGTCATGCAGCTCACTCTTGGGTTTCAAACTGCTGAGCTGCCAACCTCTCAATAGTCTTTTGATTCAGCATCCTAACCACATGAGTCACCATGGTTCCTTGAACTTCTAATTAATGAACATTTACAATGTGATAATAAATGGGAGTCTTCATTGGACATGCTAGGATCTCTTGGACTGTGTTCCAGAGGTGGGTTTCTACCGGTTTGCACCAATTTGAGTGGACCATTAGTGGTAATTTGGTCTGGGTTGCAGAACCGGCAGCGACCCAGATTGGCCACGCCTCTTAACCCGTTCCCTGGTTTCCGCTACCATTGGCGGCATGTTTTTTATTACTTTTCCATGGTCTTCACGCATACAGAGCCAAGGTGGCGCAGTGGTTAAATGCAGCACTGCAGGCTACTGCTAGATCAGCAGTTCAGCGGTTCAAATCTCACCGGCTCAGGGT